CACAGCTTGCAGACTCATTGCCCTCAACAAGAACCCTGGCGTTCGGCCAATAGGGGTATGTGAAGTGTTTCGTAGACTGTGCTCCAAGGCGGCATTGTTTCTGATGAAACCCGACATTATGCAAGCCTGCGGACCAGTTCAGGCCTGCACGGGCATCCCGGCTGGGGTGGAGGCTATGGTGCACTCAATGACGGCTGCCTTTGCTTCGGAAAAGGCTGAGGCAGTGCTGCTAGTCGATGCTCGCAATGCCTTCAATAGCTTGAATCGCCGCGCTGCATTGCACAATATTGCTCGAGTATGCCCCCCGCTAGCACAAATAACATTGAATACTTACCAAGACCCTGCATCCCTCTTTGTGCGTGGTAGCCAGTCTTTATTGTCACAGGAGGGCACAACCCAGGGTGACCCTCTTGCGATGGCCATTTATGCCACGGCTCTCACCCCTCTCGTCAAGTCAGTCGGAACCAATGTTGCAGATGTGTGCCAGGGATGGTTTGCAGATGACTCGGCAGCTGCCGCAGGGCTCTCCCCATTGCGAAAGTGGTACAACCTCCTTAAGGAAGAGGGCCAAAAATACGGCTACAACATCAACGAAACAAAAACGCAACTACTCGTCAAGCCTGGCTTTGAGTCCTTGGCTGCTGAGACTTTTGGTGACACAACTATCCACGTCAAGTCTCGTGGCGTACAGTATCTGGGCGCTGCTATCGGGACTGAGGCATTCCTCGGAGAATTCAAAGAGACAAAAGTAGAAGAGTGGGTGAAACATACAGAGATTTTAGCAAATTATGCCGCATCAGAGCCGCATGCAGCATACTCTGCGTTGACCCATGGCTTAGTCAACAGATGGAACTATGTGTTTCGAACTATGGCTGTTTCTGCGGAGGACTTGGCGCCGTTGGAGCGGGAGCTTCACTCCTCACTTCTACCGGAGCTCGTGGGACAACCGAGCGTGCCTCTGAAAGACATTGATATTCTAAAGCTCCCGACACGGGATGGTGGGATGGCCCTTCCGGACCTCACGACTCGACCACGGTTTGAGCACCAGGGCTCCAAGCAAGTGTCCGGACCTATGGTGAAGGAGGTTCTGGGCGATTTCGCTAAGGATAGCGATCCAATTTCTCTCGCTGGAGATGTGCCGGCTTCTGCAGATACTGCTGACCGTGGTGGAGCGTCTCCCACTCCCACGATGACGGCAACGGAGGTGCAGCCGCGGGAGGTCGCTGGCAACTCAAACCCTGGACCGGATGTGGCTGCTGATGTTGCTGGTGCTGGTACCCCCTTTCAGAGGATGATCGATGAAATGCGTCACAAAAAGCGTGTCGTCCACACCGAAAACCGGGAGCGCGCAAAGGCAGCCAGGAACAAAATAGTGGACACGAGCGATGAGATGACGAAGCGACGAATAGAAGAACACACGGAGAAAGGATCATCCTCATGGCTGAGCGTGCTGCCCCTGGCGGAGCATGGCTTTCGTCTCACCAAGCGTGACTTCCGGGATGCTCTGGCATTGAGATATGCATGGCCGCTAGCCAATACACCAGCAACCTGTGTGTGTGGTGAGCTGTTCTCAGTTGAGCATCAGCTATGTTGCGCCAGGGGCGGCTTCCCGACACTTCGTCATAACGAGATACGTGACCTGCTGGCGAGGGAATTGACTGAAGTCTGCACTGCCGTTTCGACAGAACCAGCGCTGCAACCTCTTTCTGGTGAGAGGTTTCCTCTTCGGTCAACGAACCGCCGAGAGGATGCGCGCCTGGACATAGCCGCTCGAGGGTTTTGGACCCGTGGGGAGGAAGCTTTTTTTGATGTAAGGGTATTTTGCCCAGATGCTCCTTCCTACGGGTCCAGAACCCTTCCTGCATTGTACCAGCAGCACGAGCGGCGTAAGTGGAACGAATATGGGCCAAGAGTCACAAATGTAGAAAGAGCCGCTTTCACACCTCTCGTGTTCTCTGTGCATGGTGGTTGTGGGAGGCTGTGCAATGTGTTCCTCAAGAGACTGTGCCAGATGCAGGCCGAGTCATCGGGATCTCACTATTCCCAGGTCATTGGTTTACTCCGCTGTCGGCTGTCTTTTGCTTTGCTGCGTGCTGCTGTGTTGTGCATACGTGGGGCTCGGTCACGGTACCACCATCCGGCGAGATGTTTTCATGATGTCTCGATTGCCGTGGCCGAGTCAGGTCTAGTTTGTTAAGTATCGTGCTGTGTCCTGACTGTGCATGCGGGATTGGTATGGCGCTTACCCTTTTGTTGCTGTTTTGTTGCTTTCATGCCTTTAAGCATGTAATTGTGTTCATTTGTTGTATTTCATGGAAAAACGATCTTTGCGTTGGATTCATTTAAACTATTATTTGTGTAGGGTTCCACTCCTTCATCTTGGGAAATTGTGTTTTGTTTGCCCAAAGAAGTGGCTTCATCCTCATCAAAAATCATCATCATCATCATCATCATCCTCATCATCATCATCATCATCAGATTCATCCCAGCTCTGATTCATCGCCATTCTCCCCAAGTGACATAGTCGAGTGCGATCATCATCATCATCATCATCATCATCATCATTATTATCGACGACCAGCAGTAGCGGCAACGGCAAGCCTCGACTGCAGCCGCGTGCTCAGCTGGTCGAGCGACATCGTCAGCACCGCAAAGCAGGGTCGGTAGTGTCCAGTAGCAGCATTGCTGCTGCTACGGCTGCTGGACCGGCATCACCGTCGTCAGTTTCTCAGTACACTGGTGGCAGCAGTCGGCAAGACTCCAAGGCTGTGTCGTCACGACAAGAGGACGACAATGATGTCACGGAGAGCGAAAACCCAGAGTTTGACGACGGTGGCGGCGAGGATCTGAACAATGTCGATTTCGAAGAGGAAAACGAGGATGAGTGGGCAGCTGCGGATGAGGATATGTCCGACTCTGAGAGCAAGGCCGGCCGTAAGACTGCGTCAAAGATAGCCACCACACCAAAGTCTAAAACCGCCGGCAAAGGTAATGATATTGTCCAGGTTTCTACCACAATCTCCTTCTCTACCTCACAAAGCAATGTGGCAATGATGGCCAGCTGTTCTCAGATTGTTGTCAATCATTTGGTCGAGTAGCCGTGTTCCCTTCACAGTATACCAGACTAGTGGAGACGAACAAAAACAGCTGTACACACACACACACGCCTGTCCTGAGCATTGCCGTAAAACGGTCACGTGTCCCCTCATACGAGTGGTCGACAGACCCACGCACACACCCACGCACACGCACACACACACACACACACACGGCTAGAACAGTTAGGCTTGGTGAAATCCATATTTCCATCTTTCTGTTGTTTTTTCAAACCTTTTTTTTGTTCTGAAGGTTATGGTGGCATGGCCACAGCAAATCCCTTCCAATTGTCCGGTAGTAGTTCACTAGCATCACCGACAACACCATCAGATCGTGGCGGCAGCTACCTGGATAAGCTTAGTTCAACAACACCGGTATCATCTCGTAAGAGGAAAGCAGAGAAGAGTCCTGTGCCGACAAGCAGCTCCGTCAAGCCGCTAAAGGAAAAGAACGGTACGACAAAGGGAATGTGTGTGTGTGTGTGTGTGTGTGTGCGCGCGTGTATGTGTGTGTGTGTGTGTACGCGCGCGCGTGTGTATAGTCGTTTGTGGTTGGGTGGATGTGGAATGAACCAACAGCAGAGGCTAGCATTTTGAGCGCTGGAGTTAGAGAGATGGGGGCGGGGGCAGAAAATAGAGAGAACGATTGTGTAGGCTTTCAGTCGAGACGTTTGGTGAGTTTTGAAAGATTCCGTTGCTGACTTGTGACCGCATGCTCGATCAAAGCGAAATGTTCGGAGGTTTTTGGTTTGTCTGACGTCCTCATTCTCCGTCACAGTCCTCGCTCTGTCTTGCTTGTGGCATTCCTGTGTCAGCAGCGAGTTCTGAGCTGATGTCTTGTTCATCCTGGCTGTCTTGACTGCAGGTACGAAGGGCACAGGCAGTGGCAGTGGCAACAGCAGCACTGCTGGTACAGGCAAGCAAAAGCGCGTCCAGGCATCTCTTCTCTCCTCCATCTTTGGCAAACCGTCAGCTGGTACGACTACCTCAGTGGCACCTGTCCACTCAACGGGTACTACCGAGATGGTGATGGCGGCCAAGGGCAAGAAAGGACGGCCGAAAAAGTAGGCGATGGTGTGTGTGCCGTGTGCAGTGCTATGGGCTGGCTGCGGGGTGCTGTGTGATGTGTGCAGTGCTATGCTGTGTACTGTACGTCGTGTGCGGTATGAAGTACTTCTAGGTACAACTATCCTCCTATTCAAGGATCACTCAGTGTTTGAAACTTGAAGTTACAGCCAAAGCGGCATCCTGTACATTGAGCGTTATTTGCATTGAGCATTCTTTCGAGCAGCCGCGGATAGCCCAGATTGTATTTT